GCCTCTGGCCAGGGCAGGCCACCGCCTAGAACGGACTGAAACCACCGCGCGCCAATAGTTCTTGCTGGTGGGCATCTCGCAAGGACTGCCCGAGGCCTCCTCCGGCCGCCACTCAGAACTGTGGATGGATGTGGGGGGTGGGAGGAGGGAAGGGCAGGGGTTGGGGGGCAGGCGTGTGAACGGGGCAGGCGTCCCTGAGCCCTCGGTCAGTCCGTTCACACAGCCGCAACCCCTCCCCTCGATGCCCCGCGGGAAACCTGAGAGAGGACTGGCTCCGGAGTGCATCCCGCGAGCTACACACGAGTCGGTTGTGGGGATGGGGGTGGGGTGGGTGTGTGGGGGAGGCGTCCCCGTGGACCTACCTGCTGCCAGGTGCCTCCCGTGGCTGAGGGGCACCCCCTTCCCTCGGGGCAGTTCAGGGGCCTCTGGGATACTCACTGAGGAGACGGTTCACGATGGAGCCGCCCAGTACCGGTTGCCTGGAACGCACGCAAGCTTTACAGTCTGCACTCAGGCCCAGAGCCTGGTTGCTTATGACGGATGCCCTGCCTGGCCTCGCCCTGTCCCATCCGGGAGATTGAGCGGTGGCTGACAGTTGAACCGCAATTCGCCGGCTCTGAAGAAGCCATTCTCATTGAGATTCAAGACCCCTGACCCGAGGAGTCCTGGAGAATGATGGCAGGCGGATGCCACGCACAGGGTGCAGGGCACATGCACGTCAGTCCCTGGGGAGGAGTTACAGGGTAAGCCTTGTCGGAGGGGAGACGCGGTTGTCATGAGGCTGAGCTGCTGGGTTACCTGTCGCCGGGGAGGCCGAGGGCGGCTCCCCCCATGGAGGGACCCGCTGGAGGCAGGAGCACAGCAGGGACGCAGAGGGGTCCTTCCTCGAGTGAACAAGGCGAGGGTGGGCCGGGGGCAGAGGTAGCCTGGGTCTGGGGAGCACAGAGGAGAAGCCACAGGACCCCAGCGGGCGCCGGTCAGGACGGGCGTGCCCCTAAGAGGCGGCATCTTGCAGAAGCGGAGCAGAATCTGAAAGGCCGTTTAGACCACACAGTGTGGCGAGGTGGTTCTGAGCAGAAGGAAAGACAGCAAAAAGGTGAAAGATAAAAATATATTTTTAAAAAAAGAGAGAGAACGGAAGCCTCAGAGACACTTGGCAGGTGGAGTGAGAACGTTCTGATTTCAAAGGGGGCTGTGAGGTTCCCACCAAGGCTCTGGCCTCTTGCCTTCCTATGGAGCGGTTCCGCTCTGCTCATGAACCAGCATATCTCTCCCCTCTCTCCCCGTCTCTAAAAAAAAAATCAATAAACAATTATTTCCTTTTTTTAAAAAAAAGTCTGTACATGTACCTGGAAAAAAATGCAACAAAAATATGTGAAATTAAGTGAAGTCTGAGAGCTTCGCCTCCGGGGACACAGCTCACAGAGCTGCGGAGGGGACGCTGAGGGGCGGCGTGCGAGTGACGAGCAAACCAACCGGGTCCAAGACAACGAGGGCTGGGATGACGCGGTGCTGAGCTCACGCTGAAGTGGGGACACCAGGCGTCACCAGAGAAAGGGGGGGGTGCTTATCTGGTCCAAAGTGGCCCTGTGATGGCTGGTGAAAGTCATCCTTCTAGACTTTCCGGTTGGTGGGAGCCCTGGTGAAGGCCCTGCCGCCCACACAGAAAAAAATTGGGGAGAATACACGTGTTTTGCAATTTCCTGATCTGTTTGGAATTTGCACAAAAGATGTTAAACACCATGGCAATTAGAGGAGAAGGAAAAGTGTTTGGCAGATCGATGGGTAAGACGCCAGGGACGCGTGTTTAATATGCCCAGAGACGCTGCTGATTAGATTGGGGCTGAAGCTTGGAAAGAAAAGCCGGCCCCATTTTCTAAACCAACAAGTGGGGCTTCTGACAGGTGAGCACCTTTGAAGTTCAGTTACGCCAGGAGCAGCCAGAAATTAGGTGTGTAACTTCCCACAAAGGTTTCGACTTGTGCAGTAGACAGTTGCCGGAGGCCAGCTCAGCGAGGAAAACACACAGAATGCTAATGTCCGGGGACGTCGTGCACCAGGAGAGGGGACTGCGGGAGGGTGAGAACGTGTTGCATGCCCGGCTGGTGTGGCTCAGTTGGTTGGGTGTGGTCCTGTGTACCAAAAGGTTGCTGGTTCGATTCCTGGTCAGGGCACATGCCCGGGGTTGCAGGCTCCATCCCCAGTAGAGGGCCTGCGGGAGGTAGCCAATCGATGATTCTCTCATCGATGTTTCTCTCTCCCTCTCCCTTTCTTTCTAAAAGTCAATAAAAGCATAAAAAACCCCACCAATGTGTCGCTCATAAACATGCCATCAGCGGCGTGGATCTGGCGCCTGCCTCCTCGTATTGTGGAAAATTACAGAATTAGCGCAGGGTGCCGAGGGGGCTGCCGGCTGAGTCTGGGGCTGGACGTCACCTGTTCCAATGCCTTCAACCAAAAACCAGCGGGCGAGGCCAGGCCTACCTCTTCATCGTTGGGGCCAGACCTGGAGCTCACCCACTCAGGCCCCTGACGGATGTGCGGCCGGGGCTACTTCTGTTCTAAGTGAAAGAGAACCCAACCCGAGTGAGTGACAAAGTGTCCCCGCGTCCGTCCACCAACCAGCAACCCCTTTCCTTCCCGAGACCAGTCCCTTCTGCGCTTCAAGGAGCCGCACCCACAGCCCTGACGGGGGAGGCCCCTCGGCCCTGGATGGAGTCGTGCTTCCAGGGGTTTGGGCCCAGAAGTGCTGGCGCCAGAGGCCAAGGGGCCCGAGGTGACTGCTTTGCCTCGGTGCCCCTGCTCCCCGATTACGTGGATTACGTGGCAACTCAGGACGGAGCAGCACACAGAAGCCAGAAAAAGCTCAATCCTTGAGGTTCTTACTCTAATTCTTCCCTATCAACAGCTGCCCTCAGGCCAGAGGCCCACAAGTTCAGCCTCACGCGACTCGGCTGGGGCTTTGAAAATCCCAGTGCCCACACTACCTCCCCCATGTGAATCAGCTCAAAACTATGAATGGAGGG